CCTGCCGAGCCGAGCGGCGACCGCGGAAAAGTTCCCTCCGCGCCGCCTCGCGCTCTCCCCGAGGACTCGCTTCCTTTAACTGTCTTGGTGTGACAGGGCGCTGCCTCTCATCTTAACACCACCCAGCTCAGCTCGGGACCTTGCGTTTCCTCTTCCGAAGACTTGCTCTTGCTTTGGAGCTTCGGAGCAAAACTGTGGGAAAGGCGAGACAGTTAATCCCAACAAACGGAGGAGGGGCTGAAATCACCCCGGCAGGGATAGTAAACGCTTTACTGAAGGTCACACAGGGCCACAACCCCGATATCCTGGTTAGTCATGCTTTCTGTCACATCCTCAGCACCGTTTCCCGAGCGGACAGGATGCGTACACACAGAAACTGTTCCCTGCACATTTGCAGTAGGTGCAATCGGTTGATGGAAAACTAATGCTTTTTACTTTGGTGATTACTTTATAATTGCCTGTGAGTTTAAAGCTGTGATAGAGGAAATGTCCTTGTTTATAGAATGAAGAATTTAGGAAAATCTGAGAGGCGCCTTCCTTGTAAGAAACTGAAAAGTTTCTCCCCAAACTCCCGCACTGGGACTCGAACCAGAGAGTCATGCATGCTAGGCAAGTACTCTGCCACTGGGCTACATCCTTTTAATTTTTTGAGTTAAGTTGCCCAAACTGAGCAGGAGCTTGGATTACTCTTGTCACATTCTCTGGGCACAGCAGGCCTCTAAAAGTTTTTTGTTTTGTTTTTTTTTTTTAAGAGTAGCCCTATTCTACAAACCAACTCTGCTAAGTTTTGAGAGAATTTAATGACGTTTTTCAGTTCTTACTGTTTGCTACTTCTATGTTTAGTCCTCACCGCTCTAGGAAGTCAACACTGTTATTTTCATTTTTACAGTTAATAAAACATACTTACGAAAGGAACACTGTTAGGTTAGGTTATATGTCCAATAAATTGGCATTTCTCTTGAGGATTTTTCAGTCTGAAAAAGAAGGTAAAGAATGAATTTATAAGTCAGAATAAAAAGAAAGAAGAGGATTAAAAACACGGATGTGGTTACAGTGAAGATAACATTGGAAAAGGGTTTTGAGGGGTAAGTAGGATGCAGAGGAGAGAGAGCACTTGTTGGGTAGAAGACAGAAGCTGCATAGTGGCCATGGGAGGGACTTATCCCTTGAATTTGCCTAAAGATGGTGAAAGGTATTTTAAGGTTAAGCTGTGAGGGGGTGTGTTTTATATGACATGCTGAGAAATTTAAAGGTTTTCTTTTTTCTGTTTGTAAGGTAGGAACACTAACATTCTTTGAGAAGACCCAAATGTGATAGGATAGAATAAACTTGATACCAGAATAGAAGATGGGCCACTGGTGGAGAGGTAATATGCAAATAGGATGGCTGTGTATGGACTGGAAAAAAAAATCAACTCAGTTTAACTATTGACAGTGTAGGGTACAAAGTGGAAATAGGGAACTGTTTGGTAGGGAAGGTAATGCCTTCGGTTTTGAATCTTTTAATATTAGCAGCAACTCCTGAAAAACAGTCAAGCGTATAGTATAATGCATTTCTAAAGAGGGATGATATCAAACTTGAGCGAAAAGCTTTGAGTATCAGTATGAAGGTGACCGTTGAAGCTTCAGAAATGAATGAATCTTTCATTGTCTTGAATTCAAGTATTGCAGACTTACAAATTAATTGTCTAGAATATGTTCTATTCACCCAATTTTGACGATGTGACACTTGCTGGTAATACAGTGGTATTGATGCAGTATGAGGAATTTGACACTTTTTTCTCATCTTTTTAAAATGATTTTGGAAACAGATATGGGAAAGCAGAACCACCAGAAGGAGTGATGATCAGCAATCTCGTCGTAAATCTGGATGTTAGTTCTCATGCTTCAGAACATCCTACTGGAAACCGCTACACTGGCTGCTGGGATCAGACTTTTCGTCCATTTAGTCCCCCTTTTTGCCTGAACTACTAAAGCCAGCTAACTGCGAATGGCTACCCAAAGGAAGCACTTGGTGAAAGATTTTAATCCTTACATTACCTGCTATATCTGTAAAGGGTACCTGATCAAGCCAACTACTGTGACAGAATGTCTCCATACCTGTAAGTATTCTTCTGTGTCATCTGCTTCTCAGAACTTATTCCTACATTCATTCCTTTAAAATTACCATGTTTTATTTCTATCTAGATTTTTAACTTTAGAAAAGAGTGTTCTAAGAATTATTGTTAATTTTCAGAATATTTGTCACCAGGATACTAGTGACATGAAATTTTTGTGTTATTTCAATCTCGATACATACAATGTAGTTGATTTTTATCAGATTGTAAAATGTTCTAAAAATAATAAACCTCACTGGTTATGACTTTTTAAAAAGTCAACTATTTTAGGATTTTATTTTTAAAATTTATACTAAAAGAATGAATCTGTTGAGCGGTTTGGTTAGGCTGTGCTTATTTCAACTCAGTGGTTCTCAAGTTATGATTCCCAGACCAACATTAATTAGCATCAACATCTCCTGGGAGCTTGTCAGAACAACAGATTACCAGCCCCACCCTAGACTTACTGAGTAAAACACTCTAGGAATGGACCTAGAAATCCGTATTTTAAGGAGTCCTACAGGTGATTCTAAAGCATTCTCAGGTTTGAGAATCACTGTTCTAATTTTGTCATATCTAAGGAAGTTTTATTCTTAGCTGCCCCACTAGAAAAGGAAGTATGTTTATATGGCTGTTGTTTATTTTTTGGGGGGGTCTTGCTATGTAGTTCAGACTGGCCTTGAACTCACTATATAGCCTAGGCTGGCCTTGAACCTGCAGCAATCCTCTTGCTTCAGCCTCTCAAGTGCTGGGATTATAGTTGTGTGCTACCACGCCCAGCCATTTTTATAGCCACTTATGCCATGATTATACATACGTTGTACATGTTTTCTGCCAGCATAATTTTATTTTTATTTCAATGAAAATAAGTTTAACGTCATTGTGTATGCCAAAGTAGGTACTTTATATACTTGATTTCATTTTAGCTTTACAGTAAACTTGGAGAAGTCTGCAGTGGATATAGGGGGAGAGAAAATATATAAGGATTATCTTCATTTTATGGGTGTAGAAACTAAAAGTTAAGTAACTGTCCCAGTCTCACAGCGAGAACAGTGGACCTGAATTAATTCCAAAGCCTTTCTAATACAGTGTGGTGCCCCTCCGTCCCTCTCTCTTTCTCTGAACCTTCACATTTTCCCTTTACTGAACTGACATATTGTACCAGTAGTTTTAAATAATAATGCAAAAAAGAATCACCTGGAAGTGGTTAAGATGGCAAATTTATTTTGCCACAATAAAAAGAAAATAGATATGTGGGGATATGTGGTGAATTCTGTAGTAAGGTTTCGGGATGTATATTTTGGAAAGGCAATCTTGTAATGTATAGCCCTTTGGGATATTTTTGGCTTATGCCGTTCAATTAGCAATTAACTATGAAAAGTGTCCTATTATTTTTCATTGCCCTATATCATTATTTATATGAACAGATACTATCATTGAACACACATTTATTGATTGCCTATTGTATGCTAAGTACTGTTCCAGACACAAAAAATGCAGTAATACTTAGGATAGTAAAAGATCTTACCCTTTACATTCTAGTAGAGGAAACTAATAATAAATGTATGCCATGTTAGTAATAAACACCACAAAGAATAAACTAAGGTTATAAAGAGGAAAGAATGGGTTATTTTATATGCTATATGAGGGTCAGCCTCTTTAATATGAGGACATTTGAACAGAAACCTGAAGTTCTGTGAATATATAGAAATAACAGAGTAGGCAGAGGGAAGATTTAAGTACTGTACACAGGCTTTGATACAGGAATACACTTCTTATATTGACGGAAGAGTAAATCAAGTTACATGACTATCACTGTAGCTCAGCTCAGAGACTATAGGGCCTTCATCCAGGTGTAAGATCTGAGGGTGGAGGTGAGGAGTTGTTGAATTATAGCTGTTTTGGAGGAAGAGCTAATAGATAACAGGGTGTGGCTACTCTAGAGTGGGGACTTAATGTTATTCTTCTGTGATTCCCATTGTACCAGCTATGGTACCTGGACATGATCTCAAGTCTGTTTTGATTTTGTTTTCTTGCTTCTAACATTTCTGCATTACTTTTATATTTGGGTCTCTCCAGCAAAGACTGCCAACTCTGGAAAATATCACGAAACAAAGCACAAATTCCTACGTTTCTATCTATACTACAAATTTTATATATGACCTTCTGAAAGAAAATTTTGAAATGAAATCCCAGTTTAAATCTTCCTTTTTGGAGGAGAAACAAATTCTATAAATATATATATAAAATGAGTTGATAAGCAAAGATTATTTTTACATTCTCAGTAGCAATTTCAAGCCTAAAGAGATAAATGACAGTTTAATTGCACAAGTCATTCTGGTCTCAAGGATCCTTTGCATTCAGTAAGACCCTTAACTGAGAGAATTAACAAGGCAGAATTGTGATTAAAATACAATGGTAAATTGCAGATGCAACCTTTTATCATCAACAGAGAATCCAGCACAGTAGATGAAGTCAGTTGCTCATTCTAGTGCCACAGGTTATCTTGAGGATTGTGTAGCACTAAGTTTTGTGCACCTGTCGGTTCTTGGATTTCTGTGTACTTTTGTTTATATTTATATTGAGATTAATAGGCAAAAACTACCCCCTTCTAAAATACTTTCCTTTTTCTTTTGATAACGAATATATTGCCGTAAAGCCAGGTCCATCAACATTTCTGGGGATCTTTGGTATGTGGTGGTAATTCTGAGTTTTGTCTCATTTGCCAGGTTTTTTCATGCATAATGTAGGACTGATACAGTACTATGATTTGGTATGTGATTTGGTATTTGGTACTGTGATTTGGAATGGGTATAAAATTCAATGAAGTGACCAAATGGGAAAGGAAGAAAATGACATTGTGATGCCCTATAGTATTTGTAGATTTTGATTTAACTTTAGGATACTGTATTAAAATAACTGCACAAAAATGATAGTTGTACGATACTATTAGTAAAGCATGAATTGAGTAAAGAATGAGTAAACACTAGTTCTTTTTTTCTTTCTTCCCCGCAGAACTGAGAATTGAACCCAAGTCCTCATGCATGCTAGGCAAGTCCTCTGCCACTGTACTACATCCCCATCCCTTTTTTGTTTTTTATTTTGATACAGGATTGCACTCAGTTGTCCAAGCTGACCTCAAACTTGGAATCCTATTCCCTCAGTATCCTGAGTTATAAGTGTATGCCCCTGCACCTGGCAAGATTAGTTATTGTTATGAAAACTTACTAAGAAAACAAAGATACTGGTCTTAGAAATATATAAGAAATATATAAGTAAAGCTTTATTGGTGAGCCAAACCAGACATGAAATCTACCCTCTGGGCAGTTTGGTCAAGTAAAGAAAGGGTAATCAAGATAAGAAATACATAAATTCAGATGGCCATAAGTGCAGTTGTCTTTGTTATATCTCTTGTTGCTGAGACACAATACCTGACATCAAATTTAAAGGAGGCAAGGTTCATTTGACTCGCAGTTTGTAGAGGTTTTATTGGCTTCCTGCAGAACAGGGTGGGCATGGCAGACAGGCATACCCCAGGGAGAAATAGTTCGTGAGAAACAAGAGGTAGCAAAACAAGCAAGGGTCAACCATAGCTTTTTCTGTCTCTTATCCAAGTTAGGTAGCACTCACACCCTTAATCCTAGCGCCCTTGATCCTGGTATAACATCATGAATTAGTCCCAGCCTCACACACTCAAGACTCAGCCACCTTTGAACAAGCCCTCCCTACCTATGACCTCGTGAAGCTTTAGGAAGATATCTAAATACAGGCCATGACAGTAATAAAGATAATGAAACAGAGTAATATAATAGCAGGTGTGTGCCAGAGTATACTGGAGCAGAATAGAATGCAAAAGAAGGTCTAGAATGTTTCTGAAAGTCCTAAAGCCAGAGACGCTGTCCCTTCTCATACAGGATCCATAAGGTGCAAAGAGCTGCATGCAGTGAGAGATAGGAATCATTTCTGCTTTCATGTGAATAAACAAAGTTAGTTCACCCTTTTCTCAAATTACCGTGCACATCTACTTCAACTCTTTCTTTCCCCTGACCAAGCCACATAGATGCCTGACTGCCCTGTGGCTCTAGTGAAAGGGCCCAAAGGGTGAATAGGCACAAGGACTGGAGGTACATAAAAGAAAGAAAAAGGGAAAAACAAGTTTGTCTAAAAGAAGGATATATAGAAGGTAGGACATTGCTGTTGCAGGCTTCTGGCAAGGAGATGCAAAACAGAAGTCTTAAAAATCACACTTTTAACAAGACTCAAACTGCACCTACCAATACTGCTTCCCTTCTGTAGGTTAAGGCATTTAAGAAATACATAAAAGTTTTAAGTTATCACTTAATGCTAGAAGAGCTAAATTCACATTAACGATGGTGAGATAATTTTAATAGTCTGACCTAAAGAAAAAAGTATCACACAAATAATTACATGTCAGACACTTTTCTAGTCACTGGGTATAGAGTGGTAAATAAGATAAATTTGAAACTTACACTTTATCAAGAAAACCTCTCATAAGCCAAGAAGAATTCCTACTACCTATAAATTTGGGTGTATCTTTTTCTTTTCTATGTGAACTTGTCTCTAGTACTTCAACCACTCATTCTGATGTCACCTAGATCTTTATTTCCAGTGTAGACCTTCTTGGCTTCAGAATCTTGAGACTTCAGCCACCTATGCTGATGTCTCACAAATGTTTATTTCCAGTTTAAACCTTTTCTTCTTAGCTTTGGAATCCTGTTGGATGCCCTTATACTCACCTGGAATGCAATATATCTAAGAATGACTGAATCTCTCCTCACTAGCAAAACTGACAAAATCCTGTTTAGCCTGTCTCTCTGATAATTCTCAAATCTGTCCCTTCAGTTCCCATCCCCATTACCTGTTCTCATTCAGGCCCACCCTACTTCTCATCAGAGCTGTATGTTCTTAACCTGTGTCAGGGTAGCAGTAATTAAAAACAGCTTACTGTCTTTGTCACTGTCAACTCTTAAGCCTACCTCAAAATT